CCGGCGGGCCCTCGCAGCCGCGGGGCCGCCCTGTGACACCGCCCGGCGGGGGCGGCAGCTCGGGGCGTGGGGAGGGCCGGGCAGCGGCGTCGAACCTGCGGTCGGTGCCCCGCGTGCCCTGCCTTTTATTCCGTGACCTTGCAGCGGTGCCTTGCTCGGGAAACGGGCGCGTTTACGTGCTTTGCTTTTCGAGGTGAAGGGCCGAGGGAGTAGTGTGGAGGCGCTTCTGAAACGCAGATGTGCTGCGCAGCATTTTCTCGAGAGACTCGAGGGGGCGGTAGGCCGCGTAGAGGCAGGCGTTTGAAAAAAGTGAGGGAGCCAGGGAATTGACCTCCGGGTCTTCGGAGGAGAAAGGACAACTCAACGCCGAAGGATTCCTTATCTCGGGCGAAAGACGAAAGGTAGCTCCATGGCTGTCCGGGGCGGACGGTGGAGACAACAAGGCTTTTAGAGTCAGAGCTATGCTTGGTCTCTGCACTGCCAGTGTGTGTCGTCTTGGACAGGATCCTTCAACCGTCAGAGCCTCTGTTTCCTTAGCTGTGAAATGAAGTGGGTCTTGAGTAGTAAATGAGTTGGAGCATAAAGCTCTTGGCTCAGAGTTAGGCACAGAGCAGGTGAACAGTAGAGGCCAGCTTGCTTCCCCAGCCAGTGTGCGGGGAGACTGGTTGCAGTGTTAGCCCTAAAGAGTTAGGATTACTTAGAGCTATTCTTCTCCACAGCTGGTGGGTGGAAAGAGAACGTGGTCTGATAGGAGCAAAGCAGTTGGAAGTGATTTTGTGGCTCTGGTGAGGGGTGAAGCCAACAGGCTGTGTCACTTTGGCAGAGTGACCTAGGCCTTCTGTGACTTCGTAGGTTCTCAAACTTGCAGGGTGAGTAGGCCCTGGAGACTTCTAATCAAAGGAGTACAATCATCCGGAAAGAATACAGGTTGTAGAGATAGGAACACCTGAATTGGAATCCTGTGTCACTCGCTTATTAGTGTAATTCTTGGCAGATCAATTCCCCAATCTCATCCTCTACCTTCTCCTGCAGAATTCAAGGACAGTACTTGATAAGAGTATGTTGACAGATAGAATGACAGGAATAAAAGCAGGCACCTGTGTGCCTAATGAATGATCACGGTTATTACTGGATGAGCCTGATAATGGACCACAGCGCCGGTTTATGAAATCAAATCCATGCCCACTAGTCAGCACATTCCCTTCCTTGTAGGAGAACCGAAAAGCCTAGCGGAAGTTTGCTTGTGGGACTCGGAGAAGAGGGAGGAGAGTGTAGGGAATTGGATGATCTTTTAGAAGAGGGTCCCAGGCTTTGGCCGTAGTGGGGCCCTTTCCCTCTCAGTAACTGAAAAATGCACCTTAAGCTCAACTTGCTTTCTTTGGCCTGCTTCTCTAATCACAGGACCACTCTTAACTGCAACGTTGTTAGCTTTGCATTCTGTGCTAACTGCTTTGTTGGAGAGGTTACAATATGTTTCACAGTTAACTGATGCGGCTCCCTAACAACATCTTTCACTTTCCTGCTTCAGTCCCACTGACCTCACTTACAGAGCACTTCAGGAAAGAGTTAATCGAGCAAGCCTGAGGCTGCTGTCTGCAGAAGGGCTTGCCTGCAAGGTTGGCCCTGCGCTTGTGTCAGGAACTTCGCGCTTGAACTGTTCCCTCCATTCCCTGACTGATTGGGAGGAGGTCCACTGTGTCTAGTCTCTTTGTGCAAACAAGATGGTTTTGTGTTGAACACCTGCTTTCCTTCTGGGAATCGGAGATTTTGATGGTTGCTAGGCAGACAATGCCTGCGTGACCAGCTCTGGGTAAAAGCCGTGGGTGCTGTGTCTCTGATGGACTTCCTGAGGCACAAACATCATTCTCTGTGTTCCTGCTTGTTTGCTGCTGTAAAGAGGAACGCGCACCCTCCCAGGAGGGGCAGATGAGAGGAAGCCCGTGCGTGGATTTCTCTGGATCCCCCCGTCTTTCTCCCTTGCTAACACCCTTCACTGTCATATCAGTCAGCTGAGGACGACTGTGTCTGTGTGTGTGGTCTTGGGGACCCTGAAACTTTCTCAGAGGAGGCTTCTGTAGGTGGCTGATTCCATCCAACGTATGTAAATTTGTCCTGTCTTCACCTGTGATCTTGAGACTTGATTAGACCAGGGATCATTGTTACCATGTAATCTGTAATACTGTCTGCTTTCTACGTGCCCCTATTTTAAAACAATTGTTGAGAAGCTCTTAGCATTCCGAAGGAAAAGATTTTTGAGATTGTTAAGAGTAAAGGAATTTCTGGGGACCCACCTGAGATAAGAGGTGTGGAGACTTAATCTGGAGAGATGCATGTTGAGCCCCTCCCACCTGCTGCCATTTCTTTGTTTTCGTTTTTTTCTCTTTCCTTTTTTCCAGAGAGAAGGCAGAGGCCGAGTGGGGCCTGGTGCAGATGAGGCTGGCCTGAGGAAGGCTGTTTCTGAACTAGACCTGACACCTTGGCTCCGACACTGGAAGCTCAGGCAGACTGCCATGCCTCAGTGGCTCGTGGGCACATTAATGACCTCGCTTTCTCTAGCCAGGCCCTCTGCGACCACAGCTGGGTTGACTTACTCCATGCACCCACTCTGACCCCAGGCTGTGAGGCCAAGTCTGTCACTACTCAGAGCATTTCACTTGTTCTTTAATTCCCTCTTTCATTCAGAAACCTGTATGGAACACCGACTATTAAGTGGCACATACTAGGCCAGGTGAATAAGAAACAGTCCTGATCTGGTTGCTCAGGTGACCAGCAGTCACATCTGCTGCAGGTCCCCCGTTTACTCTGTTATCCCATGTCTGCTGGCCAGAGTCCTGCTGTGTTCAGACAGCCAGACTCAGGACCCCTGGGCGTCTGTTCTCAGATCCATGTCTGAGCTCTGAACTTTTCCTGCTAGGCTGCCCCTAAGACTGGCATCCCAGCCCTGAGGCCCAACCCTGGGATTGCAGCCCACCTCTGAGGACGCCCTCTGGAAGGCCCACTCAGCCCTCAGCCCTCCCCCTATGGGAGAAAGATGAGAGGAGACAAACTGAGAAGAAAGAGAGTCCTGTCTAGCCCGGAATCTCTGCAAATGGCCTGCTCCAGACTCCCTCTCCCTGGTTTCCCTCTGCCCGCCCACTTCTCCCTGTGCTTTTCTGGCTCTTCATGGTCTTCAGAATGTGGCTGAGCTGTCCTTGCTGGGCCTCCTCCTGACTCTGCCTGGGCACCCTCCTCTGTACCCAGGAAATCCGGGGATGGCCCCTGCCTCCTTGGGAGGCTTTGATCAGAGTCCTTTCTCATGTCCTTACAACCCTCTTTTCTTCATTTCGAGTAGCAGAACCTCCAGGTGTCTTAGCTAGCTGTTGATCCCTTGTTTAAGCAGTGCTGTGGCATTTGGGCTGGCTGGACCCTCCCTGGTAGATGTGCTCTGGAAGAGGATCTGGGGAACTCTTACCTGTAATCCAGAGAGTGTGTGGCCAGATGCTGGGCAGTGGGCTTTCTGGAGTTCGTGGTGATCCAGCCTGTGCTTCAGAGTGAAAACCATGATACTGGCATTTTTTTCAGCATCAAAACTGAAAATTTCCTATCCTGCTCCCATTCTTTTGTGAGGCCATGTGAAAAAAGAAAAAAAAGAAACAGTGGGAGGAGAGAGAATGAGCTTTGGCATAGGGTAGTCATGTTGCTAGAACCAGTGTTGTTAAATCAAGGCTAATATATTTCAGGAAGAAACTGGAGAAAGAAAAAAATCTTTATATGTAATCATGCCACATTAACTGAGTTGGTCTGCTAGGGCTGTCATAACAGTGCCAGAGGGCTTTAAATGACAGAAACGTATTTTCTCACAATTTCTCACCAAGAGAACGGTGTCTGCAGGGTTGGTTTCTCTCGAAGCCTCTCTTTGGCTTGTAGATGGTGGTCTTCTCCCTCCTTGTGTCTTCAGTTAGCCTTCCCTCTGTGTCTGTGTCTTAATCGCAATCTTCTTAGAAGAACACCAGTCAGTGTAATCCTCTGATTTTAACTTGGTTACCTCTTTAAGGACCCTCTGTCCAAATACAGTCACATTCTGAGGTACCTGGCCGTTAGGACTTCAGTAATGAATTTGGGAGGGAGGGACATAATTCAGTCCAGAACATTAACCCGTCAACACTTCCATTTTTTAGAGCTGCTTTGTAGTTTGTAACCATATATAGTTTATTCACTTGATTGCCTTTTGCAAAAGTAGCCCCTGTTTTTACTGTCTGCATGTCATTATTTTGCATTGACAGACCTTACTGAAGCACTTCTGTTTCCACTTTCTAGTTTTTTCCTTATAAAACGGCATGTTTGTACATCTAGCAATTTGTCTTCTGAATTAATCCTTGTGTTACATTGTCGATGGGTCTTGGTGTTTACTGCCCACCTGTTTCCAAAAGACTACTTAGTCGTGGTCGTCTCAGCAAGTGCCTCGTGCGCATTTATAGCTTCACCACTGTTGGGTTTTGTTTTTTTCTTGCCAACTCAGTAGGCATAAAAGGGTACCTTATTGTTTTGAGCCGAAGATAATATTTGACCATGGTTGGCTGTGTTACATTGTGAGTTAAGGAAATGGCCCACAAAGCAGAAGTGCCAGGATCGGGCGATATTGCCATGTTCTTGTTTTCTGTTATGTGGAAACTTCAGTTCGGGGTTCTCATCAAATTTGCAGTCCTGTTGCTTGAGTA